ATATATATAAGCCTGTTATTCTGATGGGAGGTTACGCTTCCATGTGAATTCTGCGCGGTTGGTCTCCACGCGACATACTCAGTGCAAGACTCATAAAAAGCGATGAGTATGCAAAGAAGCTATTCTGCGTTCAATGTGATTGAAATTTTGGTTCAGCGTTTTTCTGTTTGGTTATGGAGGTGTTTGGCCGAATAGATTGCTGTCAACTTGACCTTTCCAGGCTCTGAGGAAGGCGAAATCCGCCGAAACGTCGGCTTGTTCGTGAATAAGGAATAAAATAACACCTCGCGTTTGCTCATCAAGAATACGAATTACTTGACCAATGTCGAGCTTAATAGAAAGTCGGTCGTAGGATTTATTACGAGACGTACTAGCACAAAAAAGAAGCGATCGGAGCTATGGTGATCTTTGCATCAAGAGGACCACATGTGTATTTGTGCCATAAGTTGCGAACTACTATTATTATCTGGACTCTACACTGGGTTGAAGATCTGTATGATACAAAAAGATTGTAAAGTCGAAAAAATCTCTAGAAAAGGTCTACACGTGTGGGAGTCGCTTTGTAATGGGGCACTATAGTCTATGTGACCTCTCTAGAGGTCGTTTCACCTTGATGGTTTATTTTTCGCATAAAACTTCTACGTCGCAAATTTGAAATAAACGATATTGGGACGGTCATTCGTAACCGTGATCGCGACTCTAAAATACCAAAAATACGGAGATAAATATCAAATACAAAAGCAGGACTACCAGTCCGACTGCGACTCGAAGTGCGATGATAGGAGATTTTGACGACAGTGGCAAGCGAACTGAAAGTGAAAACTTTCGGCGGGGCGTTGAAGGTATGGAGCAGGAGAAGACGTACTTGCGATCGCTTTTCCAACGGCATGCATAAACGGTCGAATGATGAAAGGCTTCGTTTGCTGCTCCATAACCATCAGCAGGATATGAAACAGCAAGGAAAGCATATTGCACAACATTGTGATGCTGTAGAACAACACTGAAACAGGTGTCGTCCTTCAATAACATAGAAAACGATCTCACTGGTTGTAGCGACAAAATTTCGTTTAAGTTGCCTGTTCATAAGACAGTCAAAACTGGTACAATATCGAAAGGAAGGCACATGATCCCCCACATGGGTTCTGCGTTGTTCTCCTGATAACTATTATTATTTTTATGAGACTGGAAACTGAATGAATGGATGAAAGGAGTGAAAATTTTGAGTGGATATCGTGATTACTTCCGGATAATGACTTTCTGATTTTTTCATGTGTAGAGCACCAGAAAGATAAACGAACGGTGGCATGAATCTTTATGTTGGTGCTTTTCTCCTGAAGTTTAATTCCTCACCTGAATTCGGCACTCTACTGGAAGCAAGTGGCATGCCGTTTACCAATTCTTGAAGGAATACTGCCTAAAAGCTTTGCTAACTTTATTGATGCAAGCTTCCTCATTTCTCGTAAATTGAACTACCTGGATAACGACGTTTGAAATCAATGTGTAAATTGAATGAATGAGAGAAGGAAGAAAGAAGGATAGTGCGTTGAATGACGCTGAGACCTAAAAGTGAAGCCACTCACTGCTGTCAGTAATAGCGTAGTAGTTGCTAGCAGAATTGGAAAACATAGGCGCACTGAAGCGCATGGTTCGAGTTGTACGACAATATATGGCCGCTGGTTGAATTATACCAAGGCGAATCAAGCCGTCCACCTTCCCGAGGTACGTAACTTAGTAGTGGACTTTTCTGGGAGAATAAAAACACTGACTTCGTGCATCGATAGGCTCTGGTTCCACTGACACGCATTTCCCGTTTCTAAAGACAGAGTGGATGGTGCTAATACTGCCTTCTACTGCTTCTATTGCTCTCTATCATACCTCTATTCTCCACGGTGATTATCAGTAATGTACAAAATGCACTTTTCTTAACAATAAGCTGTCTTTTTTTTTATAGCATTTTGCATTATGCAAATAGTTTTTATGAGTAGACGACGATTTCTTCCAAGGTACGAATTACATGCAATGCATATGGTCTGAGATGCAAACCCAAATGTGTACCATTCCTTTTCTACAATTTTTCTATTGCTTATTATTTTAGTTTTTTTTGGCAGTTTTTTTACCAGTTGTGACTGGTGTCTGGGATTAAGCTGTGAAAGAGACGAACAGTTGCAGTCAAAGTCTTCGGCTATGAACTCACAGCACAGAAAGACTCGTTTGCTTTCCACACAGGCAAAACGTGGAAAACGACTTCCTGAATAGACCTGCCATCAAAAGATGTAATGGTGATGAATAATGCTGTAGCAGGAAATGTTGTTCATATGGACACACTAACGGAGCATCATTTTTTATGATGTTTGAGGTACTTAACACTTTTCCATTCATTAGAGTATAGATATACATGGCTTTCCTGCCCCTAGACATTCAGACATATTTGGTAAATAATAAAGGATAAAGGATAAAGCTCTCGGTGTTGATCACTCCCTGAGGGATGCGCCATGCATTCGACTTCATTAACTATCGTTGGAGGTGACTGAATGCATATTTGGCCTTTCCAATGACTCGCAGTAGCCTACCGATGTATCGAGCCAGTGCTGCTATCCTCCCAGACAAGTGTACCAATTCGCCGACCCCGGAGTGATGGAAGGCTTGGTGGGCCATGGGCGCGGAGATCTATTCCCCGTGTGTATTGCAGGTCGCCTCCAACAACTGCGCCACGTGCGCCCTATTTATTTGGTAAATCCATGGATAAATTGTTAACAAAACGTGAAGAGGATCGAGAAGAATAGGATCCATCTGAATTCGATTTTTAGTCGAATTAGTTGTGCTATATCTACCCATTTGAGCATATCCCAAAGATCGGGAAATGAAAACGTGACATCGAGATATCACAACTTCAGAGTTCTTGAAAAGACGGTAGGAAGATCAGCACTTGTTGTAGCTATGTAAGAAACGTTTCTGCATATAACTCTTTCGAAAGTATTGTAAACTGTGGCATGGATTTCTTTGTGTATAACCTTTAGAATATGGCTGGTGGAATAAGGATCGAAAACCCCTACTGGTTATGAACACGCTCACTATAACCGTCTAGAACTACCGAAATCAATAATTTAGGTGACATCGAATATACATTCACACTACAATTACATCCAGTTCGCCCAGTGGTCTACTATCCAATCATAGCTGTTTGGAAACACCGATCTTCGGTGGTTCAAGTTGAAACGTCGTTCCAATACCTACATGATTAGCAACGATATTGTTCTCCTCTCACTTCGCTTTGCAAGAGGCAAAGAAATCGTTAGTGGACTCATGGCACGAATTGAATCGCCCCGATAGACAGTTTTTTTGTGAATTACAATGTGTAGAAACGTGCTCTTCCGCGCTAGGTACGTAGGTAAATGATATAGTATGTCGATTTGAACCAAACCTATGGTATAAAAACATGGTGCGAGAAAAAGAAGCAACCGGGAGTGATATGAGTCATATATCATTCATGCGGCCTGAATGCCTTAACGAAGCTCTTTGTTGAAAATGTGCCTTCCTACCACATTTTAATCCAAAGCGATGACAAAAATCAGAATCTGTGAGTTTAGTTCTTTAAAAATTCTAATGTGTTCTCTCTGTTATCGGTCTACGTAATGATTTTTTAGACAAACAAAAAGGTTCACAACTTTCATGACAGCAGAATTTCCTATAAGAGAGGGACTTGAATCTTAGTTCTACTAGGTCATGAATTACAACACTCACAAGGCATGGAAGAGCAATGCTGATACCGAACATCACACTGTGTCTTTGGAAATGGATGGTCGTGTGCAGCACCGTCCTGAAATTTTCACTTGATTAGATGTGGAGGGAACTAAACGTCTAAGTATAGAAGGAAGAAATTCTCCTACCAAGACACAGCCATTTCATTTGCCGTGATCGGCTCCAGAGTCGAGGTATTTCCGTGCTTGTAGTATGTGAGATGGTTAGACACATTGAGAATCTCGAAATCAGAGATTATCCGCTTGTCCGCTTGGTTTCCCCATCCTGGAATGTTGGTTATTAATTTGACGAGCATCATGCAGTAGGTTTCCACCCCATCCTCATCTATACTTTTTACCTAGTTTTCCTCTATCCAAATGCTAAACCTGGAGAGAGTGGTTCAATTACCAAACTTGCTTAGTAAGGGTTTTAGTTGCAGTGCTAGGTCACTTCAATTCACGATAGAACAATCGAATTCTGCCTCTCAGGTTTTCCACTCACACAGAGATTAGTTTGACAAAAGTATTCGCGTTGAGACAACAGAGAATGAACTGGTAAATGGTTGTGAAGACTAAGCGGACTACTAGGAATTATTAAGCGACTTGAATAGAATATCGGTCGTATCAAGTGTAGCCCACCTGTAGATAGTTGATCGATGGGTGCTTCGAATAATAAACACTTCTCTCCTTTTGCAAAACAAGGTGTAAGAGTGGTAAGTAAGATGTATGAGAAGGGTCTTGGATATGTAGTAGCACACATACTGGCTTTCCAGCAAAGGTAATGTATGGTTAAATTTTGCAAAACTTAAGCCGATAGTTGGTCAAGATTTCAGGGACATGTACGTCAACGTTTGCGAATTAGCTCACATTCGGCAAATCCAGGCAGTCGAGTTTACGAAAAGGTGTTCGAGAAGCGGTTCTGGACTTCACTCACCTATAGAGAGTGTCGGTGGCATATTGTAGTAATTCCTCAAACGAACCTAAATAAGCGCAATGGGTAGAAAAATCCGGAAAACCGCTGTTTCTCAAGTTCTCAAGATGTAAATATTTGATGTCTGGAACGAAATGCACCTCACTCATTCGCTGCTTAGCGAATACTGACAACGAACACGAGTTCACGTCTCGTGGAAAATCGGCATAGTCCAGATTGCAGCCAACCTTGATCGAAAACGTCGGATACATTTCCACTTTGGCTTGCTAAAAACAAAGAAATATACTTTCTTTACTCTTTTGAAATCACGCTCAACAATACAATATTGGTTAGTCGACAACTCAAAAGATTACTTGCATACTTGCATACTTGGACTGCCCGTCCTCACTGGTTGTGGGGGCCATAGCATAACCTCCATTTTTTCAGAGATTTGCTGGTTAAGCCATTGTGGCTAGCAGGAATCTCGAGGTCAGCCTGGCCAAAGTCTACCGCAGGTCGTCACCACGAAGGGGAGTCATGGCCTTTATGGATCAGAGGAAGATTTGCCACCATGCGACCAGTTTGATACCAGGGCGGTGGTCCATCCTGGTATTGGCCTACTCTTAGCTGAGCTTCTTGTTGGAAACGCCGGACTCCTTCTCACCTTGGGAGACTCTTCCAGGGGATGAATTCACACGTTGTACATCGCAGTCCGACATCCAGGAACACCCTCAGTCACGATGAGGCGATAAACCGCTGAGAGGAAATCAGAAGATTGCTTCACTGTATTAATGTTGAAACGGTTCTTTATATGCCGTGTAGAATAGGATAACATTTTAATGTTTAGTGAAAGAGTCTGAAGCCGTCTAAATGGTTTTTATGCTCGCTTATTTTATTCTTCGCTTTTTTAGACGAGTAAATCAGCATAAGTACAACAAGCCTCTTTCCCAAGTGATTGCAGCAGTACGTGTGCGTGAGTGGAGATCTCGAAAGCGGAGTATATGCCAGCGACACTGAAACGACCAGTTAAAGTCAACCCCAACCCTAAAACGTCTATCCGATGTCTGAAAAGTCTTACCTGTTGGCCACTTTGATCTTCGGCTGCCAAACTCTCCATTTTGAGCATCTTGTTATGCGAATTCCGTTGAAGGCCGTCACATCCCAGCCGAGAAATTCATCAATCCACGTCTAAACCTTGGAAGCACGTCATTTTGTACTAGTTCAATGATAGCGAACAATCTGCTAGGGACATGCGCAAAAGTACTGGACATTGTAATTTATCCTTTGGAATGTTTGGAGAATATGCCGCATTCTACAGCTAAAGCAACAATCTCGCAGAGGTTTCTAAGTAGAGGACAATGCTAATGAAATATCTAGTCTGACAACGAACAACTAACCATATAAAGGTGACCGTGGACCGTCATCGTTTGCTCCTGTTGATTGATTGACACATGCACAATATGGAAATGAATGCTCACATCTGTTGGCCTCGAGATGTTCCTAAGCGAGTAGTCATACTGATTGTGGTGATGACATCGGAAAATTGGTGAATGTCTTACCTCACAGGTCTTCTTGTGTTCACGTAATCCTTAAAAATGGTTCTTTCCAAATCCGTCTGATATTCGCTATACGTTTTATTGTAAATTGCTGAAAAGAAATCTGTGCAGAAATGCGCGAGATTTCCTCGAGAAGACATTGTTACTTATTACCCTTTTCGATTAACATAAACTTCATTTCAAGCAAGAGAAAACCTTTAGGAATGTTTTTCCTTATCAAACAAACTCTTAAGCTGACTGGAAAGGTTATTCTAAGCACAAAATTTTTAGGACACATCTGTGCAGTACATGCACCACGCCAACAGAGAATAACCGGACGATGGCTGTACTAAGAGCTCACTATTATGTGGAATCTGTAAAGCTTCCCTCTTTCCTAACAATTTTGACCGCTCCTAGGAAGATAACTAATAAAAAACGATACAAAAAAGTTCGAAAAGCTCTTGGTGTTGATCTCTGAGAGATGCCTCATGCATTCAACTTCATTAAGTATCGGTGGAGGTGATTGAATGCACATCTGGCCTTTACAATGACTCGCGGTGGCCTACAGATGTATCGAGCCAGTGCTGCTAACCTCCTAGACAAGTCTGGTACCAATTTGCCGACCCTGGAGGGATGGAGGGTTTGGTGGACCATGGGCGCGCGGATCAATTCCACGTGTGTGTCGCAGTGGCGCCTCTAACCACTGCGCCACAGGTGCCCTTTTACACGTTAACAAAGTTAATAAGCCACACGCGCCCTTGAAAAACGGTGTATTATTATAGAATGGAAAAATAAACAAAATAATTACTGAATTTCCACTTTTCCATCATTTAGAACCGTCCCATTATCGATATGTAAAGAAATCAACCATACCAGTACGTCAGATGCAGTTTCTATCATTCAGATAACCAACACCCAAAAGTCCCATTATTTCCAGCGACCAAAGTAGTGCTTTCGTTTTACCAGATGCGCCACTATTATAAGCTTTTTTCAGTAACTGACTCCATTCGTCAGACTATGATGTCGATATCAGGAAAACCAAAAGTTGTATATGCTCACCTTCGGCATCCGCTCCTTCGTCGTCGATTCCTTCTGGATCATCTTGTGCTCGAACGGACACAAGCAGAGTGGAACAAACGGAAAATAAGAGCACTGACCACATAGCTGGATGAAAAAAATAGAAGAAACTATGCTTCAGATATAAGACAAAGGCTTCAAAACGAAAAGTAACACATTACCAATTTGTATGTGGTTCGTGAAGAGTAGAATGGGTTTTCTTGGCTACGGTAGCTAACCCAGATCGATTGGAGGATCGCAAGCGACCGTGAGTTACGTGGAAGTGCAAAGTTGTGGACGTTACATAGATGACGTTCGCCGTTTTCTGGATCAGATTACAAATAATCAGCCCGATATTTCCATAAACAAAGCTCGCAAACAGGTCACATGAAAGAGTCAACAATCAGCAACGCTTGTAGGAGTTCTTGTAATACTTTTGCAAAGTCATGAACAGTTGCTGCATCTCGTAGTACTTTGGGCACACATTTTTATTGTACGGTGGGGGAAAAATTAACACAACGAAACTTTGAATAGAAGTCATACGAAAGCTTCTGGTGAAATCGCATTTGTGTTCTCCTGATCTGGAATATCGATCGATAACTTGTGAATTCAGAAGAGCTTGATGGTCAACTGACTGAGCTTATCATTGGTTTACTTACACGATGACGTGAACTGAACAAAGGACGGAGTGACTCCATTGACAAGACGTATTTTGTTCTGCTTTCGCTACCGATTCCTTTTAAAGAAACGCTTTTGGCCTTCTCTGTTGTTTAATGATTCGATGTTTGAACGTTGGTAATAGTACATTTACGAATATTTTCTTATTAAAGAATGGTCATTAGATAAAATTTGAAGGAACATAGATAGTAAGATACTTCTCAAGCATCCTTCTCAGTTGTTACAGAGGTGCTAGCGTGCACAACCTTATGCGGCGACGTTACCTTAGTGGGAGCAACATGATGCAGAGAAATAGTGACCTCTTTCAACCTTGGATCAACGTTCCACAAATCAATGGATTTTGTTAATTTCAATAAAACCATTGGATTTCACAGTATTTTCCTACACTACACAGGCTATTTCGTTGTATATAGGCTAAATTCTGTTTTTCTAGAACTCATGGGAGCTATTTCTTTCATTTTTTTTTGTTTTGTTTGAAGACCCATATTCTGGAGGCGAAAAGAATTGAACCAGAGAGGCTTCCTCCTATAGGACAATATGACGGCTTTCACCATTTCTCTTATGTTGGCAGCTGTCATGATACCTTATGAGTATTAGATGTTCTCTTCTAGTCTTCTAGAATTCTATGAAGTTCTGGGTTCCTGAAATGCTCTGCAAAATCATCGACAATTTTCGAAAATCCTGCTTCGTCGTGAAAGAACTGTATGACCCTTCTTCACCAATGTCTCGCAATCATGATTATGGATATGATGAATTCTGGTGAGAGTTCCACTGTGCCTTGAGGTTTTGTAATCATATGGGAACCTTTGAGAGCTGATCAATTATGGTTCGGCCGGAATGCCGAGGCAGTGGTGTCAGTGCAACTCAGGGTCATTGCAATAGAAATGCGTTAGCTCTTTTGGATCGAGAAGTTTTATAACTTGAGCTTTTTCAGTATATCATCGAATTTTGCGGTTTGTCGACCGACCAGTGTAGCAAGCCGAATCTTTCAAGTTGTTCCCCTTATGTATCTATTTTCGTTATCCTTTTTTGTTTTTATCTTATTCCTAAACAATCTAATGTTTCTACGCTATTAGTAGCACGTTTATAATAATTTTAACACATTGGCGACGATGTGACGTCATGCTGAAGGATAGGGTGCGAGTGCAACGGCTGCTTTCAACTCTAAGCCAACGTATCGCTCATATCCAACTTTATTCACTGAAAAGAAGAAACACATGATATGCAGACCTTTAATACTTTTAATACTTAATACTATTATATACTATTTACCAACCTCAGTTTAGTTCAATACTTCGGGAAAGCACTGGTTATTTATAACGAAGTCAAGTGAAAGCTGATTCTTGGGACTGCGCAGATCTTACCTTCAAAATGCAAAGCCTCCTGCTCTACCAAGAGGAAATTTCGGTTTTTCTGTAAGTTTACAAGACGTTTTTCTTTTCATATTTTGTTCATCGGTGGCAAAAGGAGGGAGTGGATGGCGATGCAAGTCAGGCTAATTCTTCTGTTCAATTCCAATCTCCTGCTAACAGATTCGGCCATGGTCAGTTGTTCCAAACTCTGAAACGCATCAATAAACAAATAGAAGGACGTCGTTCTTGCCACTGGTTGTTGAATTTCATTAAAAATGCTTTTATGGGACGATCAAAATAGTTTACAGTGCTCGCGTAAGAATGCCTTCACCACCACTCCACTTGGACGGTTGGATGGCCCGCCTTCACTGGTTGTGTGAACCCAGCGTAATTTACACTTTCTGGGCTAACCACTGTGCTTCCTTGGAGTCCCGAGGTCAGCCTAGTCAATGCCGTGCTTCGGTCGTCACCACCCCAAACAGCGGCTGTCTTCTTAGATCAGATGGAGGCTTGCAACTATGCGACTAGATTGATATCAGGACGGTGATTCTTGGTATTGGTTTAGTCATAGCTAGGCCTCTGGATGAAAACGTCAGACTCCTCAGCTTGGGAGGCTCGGATGAATACCCTCATTGCTCATCACAGGCTGATACTTAGGAACACAGCCACAATGAGGAGGTAAACTGTTGGGAAGTCATCATCATTATTGAACTCTAGAAGTAATCTTGCAGGATTATTCATTTTACAAGACATCTACGAATACCATATGGTTCAAAGCATAGAAGTAACCATTACTTTCCTACATTGTTAGCCGTGATAAATTCCATATCGAAGTTAGTAGTACTGTTTTCCACGCCTTTAATAACATCTGACTTCGTTCTACATTTAGCAAATGATTTCTTCAAGGTGAAACACTTTCTCCTTCAATGTTTCGTATTAGACCTGCTCTGTACATATCTCTGCTCTTCGTTCTGTTTTCTTATATCTCTCTTGTTCTGATGGAAGGTGCCGTCATCAGAACCTCCTGTATTGATGACTTCGTTCATGCCATTGAATCAACCACATCTGTATTCATCCAAAGTCCTGGTTCATAACTTCATTTCGGACATTTTTTAAAACCCCTATTTGATTTCTTTTCTTAATTTCGAAAAAATAAAAACACTTCACACCTAGAAAACACAAAACGTGAAACGTAAAGCATTGAACATTCGCTAAAAAGTGCAGCATTTATTTGACTTCATTAAGCATCGTTGGAGGTGAGTGAATGCGTATCTGGCCTATTTAACCAACGATTGATGGTGGCCTACCGATGTATCGAATCACTACCGCTATCCTCCCAGAGAAGTCTGGTGCCAGTTCGCCGATCACGAAGTTATGCAAGCTTTCCTATGCTAGAGAAGCGGCATAGAACCAGCGACCGACTCGCTTATATTTCGAAGCGCATCTAACCACTGCACTACTCTTACCCCTGAGCAACACACCTGATGTAAACATTTTCGCCTCAAAAGGCTGAACTGAATCAAAAAATTATCCCCTTTATTTCGGAACCTCGTGAATCTTTGAGTGACGTGAACCAGAGAGAAATCTTTGTAGCGTGCAAGAGGTATACAGTGGGCTCTCCTTGCTTGAGATACATTGAAAGCACTAGAATATTTCTATAACGCTTCTTAATTTGTGGGCGCGTATGGCGCAGTGGTTGGAGACGCCACATACGTGGAATCGATCCCCGCGCCCATTGCCCACTAAGCCTTCCATCCCTCCAGGTTCGGCAAGTTGGTACCAGACTTGTCTGGGAGGATAGCAGCACTGGCTCGATACATCGGTAGGCCACCGCGAGTCATTGTAAAGGCCAGATATGCATTCAATCACCTCCAGCGATACTTAATGAGGATCAACGCCGAGGGCTTTATCTTTAGCTTTTTTGAAAATGGAGCGAGCATGGCTGTTCCGTTGGACTTTCCTGAAATGAAAGTAAGAGTTTGCTGATACTCGGAACATCCGTAACCACTTCTCACGTGCTTCTTATTCATTTCTCAGCAAGGTCTTGGTTGAGCAAACGTATCCTACCACCAGGTAGATCCGGGTCTTATGGCATATACATGGTCACTTCTGGTTAGCACTCAACGATGTTTCTCCACATAACGATGTGCTATGTAAATAGCCTCGATATCAACAGATTATTCACCTCGGCAACGAGCTAATGTCCATGGCTCGCACCAGTTATCCACTAATCACCACCGCTCTCATGCATCATGTTGACCAACACCTTTGAGTTCGTCAACAGTCCACAGCTATTGAGCCACATCTGGTCACTTCTTATATTTCCTTCTATTTAAGTACAATCTGTTCATAAAGGCTGTTTTACAAAACAGTAGTTCCACTCATATTCCAAGTTTTGTAACAAACAGTTGTTGGATGGTAGAAGTTTAAAAACAATGAATAGAAAATGTTATATGGAATATTGCCAAAGTGAAGCCATTACTAAGAAATGACAGTTGGCCTCTTCTTGGTTTCATCAATGAGATCTTCCTTATACGCACGTTTCTCGCAGAATTTATTTCTGAAATAGAATTTTATACTAATTAGACTTGTATTAAAACTAGAATAGCATGTCGGTAGTGCCTTCCCAACGCTCATCAGTGCATTTTAGCAAAACCCCAACCAGAATACCAATTCGTAATGTCCAACTCAGCTAGAACTATGGCTTAACAGCGAGTGCTCACAGATGGCGATAGTCCGCTCTTACTGTACCGGTTTGAGATTCAAAATTTCGGTTATGCTATTGAGCGCTCTGTAGATGCTTACTATTGTTTCAGTTCTAAGTCGATGAAAACTTCTATAAAGGCTTTGACGTGCAACAAACAGAAATGTTTCAGGTGTTTCAAGGTAGAATTTTGTAGCTCCAAGGTTCACATTGGGCTTCTTACACGAGAAACCAGAATGATGCAAAAGCGAAGGAAAGATCAGAATACTATCGACTAATGGTTAGAAAAAAAAACTGTGATTCTTTCTCATTTCTGTTATTGCCACTCCGATATTCTGCTTCATCAATAATTTACATAGAACGAAGTCGTCTTCGAGAACTTTGTAAAAGAAGAGCGAAATAAATACGTATGGAAGCAGATGTAGTGGTTCCTTCTCGACACGGTAAGAAATGGCCATCGTCATTATCCGTGCTCGGGACTATGTCCGATTCCTTCCTTCAGTTGTCCCAACGCTAATGCTTTCGATGAATCAGAGTGCTGATTCATCTAGCGTCTCTCCACAAACAATCCTCTCATCGATTTTCAGTTATCAGCTCTAAAGAGTCGACTACGACGTTGCCTATTTTTCTTCTGAACTATATTTCGAGGCCTGGATTTCAGACTATGAAGTGCAGTCAAATTTTTTCTGAAGTACAGCAACTGGTGCCAGACTATAACGCAATATGTGAAGCAATCGCTTTGGTTTGCTTGAGATCCGATGAGAACTATGAGAACTTCAGACTTAGTCCGTCATCTTTTTTTCCGAAAAGTCACTTTTCATTCTTATTAATTACTACGATAATTTCAATTACCTCAGTGAGTTTCTGCGTTTTTACAGACAAATTCTGCTTATTACGTAAATCTGGTTGTAAGAAACAGCGAGTTTGACAACGGGAACGAACACACTATAGAAACTTTGTGAGGTCAGCCAGAGTCATTGCAAGCGAGTGTAGTGAACATCCGTATCTGTGTGGCTCTCAAGACCACGCTATTCGCCTCGACAAACAAACGACTTTAAGCTGCAACTATGCCGATTGTACGTCAGACAGTAGTACTTCATTTTAAAACGCAGGTATTTCAACTTTCGTTTATCTTTCGTCGTCTGTCATTGACTACCAGGGCGGCCATTCTTCCTACAGCATTTTTCGTCCTTATTTTTTCCAAACTTGAAGAAAAGACGTTGAGAATTATGCACAAACTGACTACAGTGAATTGCCCTCGTTGTCGTATCACAGTTCTGGACTCGATTCGAAGCTCCTCAGTAGTCTGATTCTGTCGGTTTCGACGATGTTCGCAATTGTCTCCTTTACCTGCGGCGGTGCATTTGCATATAGAATCGCTTGTGTCAACATTGCATCTCACCGCTCGTCACTATAGTCATGCTCCCACCAGTTCCGAGCTGAGCTACAGCACATCGTTCTATATGCACCCACCACTTAATCAACATGCAGCTACTTGGACGAACTGAATTCAGTCGAGCAGCAGTATTTCTCAGGATCGATGTTTAATCGGGATATTAATATTAATATAAAATATTAATCCACTAATATTCTTGTTTTTGTAGCCTTCAACTCTAACTATGCATATCTCAGCCACAGTAAGCTTAACTAATCCATATAAAACTGTTATATTTCATGAATCGTTGCTAACAAGTCATAAGCTTAACTGTCCCTATCTATTTGTTTCTCATAATTAATTAGATAAAAGAAGCTAAATACGGCTCCACATATTGCACAAACCCAGCACTTCTTTTACTCGGCTCACTGCCCTGTACCGATCATCCAAAAACGTCATTTGCGTCTGAGTTCGGGGCTGCAACGTGATGATTTTTTATTTTCAATGAACGTCGTTCAGTTCAGTTCTGGTATGATTTACTATTCCCGGAATGCTGGGAAAGCTATGCGAAAGCGTTTGCAGGTTTTCATTGGAAACAACTACATTTTGTTGATCGAAAGGCGCACTCGAACTCTAGGACCTATTTTGTAACTCCATTAGAATGAAGGTCATGGCGAATCAAAAACCATATGTATATTGAACGAAAATTCTAGCGTCGGCGCTCCCAGTTACTTCCTCATGCTAGTGTCCGATCATTGTGTTGGGCATGAATTTTTCAGATGGCTTGTTCTTGAACCTCTTAGCGACGACTTCCCGTTCATGTAAAACAGTTAACGACACGCCTATAAAAGAGTAGTGAGTCGGATGAGTCTCTTGATTGAGGCAAATTTTCGTACCCCAACTTCTTCAACTTTCAATGTGTTGGATGTGAGATGGGTGTTCTGTTGCTATCGTGTGGTGGAGTCTATTAGTCACACGAGTCTTTCTGGTCCGATCATTAGGGTTGCACTTCGTTTGGTGTATTCTGTCGATTTCTTGACGGTATTCCTCCACTGAATTGACATTGTCAACACCTAAGAATTCCTAGTGGACGATTTCATCTACCAGTCACCAAAAGCATCGTTTTCTCATGCAAATTTCACCTAGGGAATTCGATGTGTCACCTTCGTCGAACCACCAGCGCAGAACGTCGTTGATTTGTCATTCAGATTCCACTTTTCGTCGAACATCACCATGCAATCAAGGAACGAACCAGAACAGAATTCACAACAGCGATTTGTTTCATTTCCGTTTTATTCATGAGACATCCATTTTTCAGGATTTTTTCTACTTTCCAATCCGGTTCAAATGTTTCCGGTTCATAAAAACCACAAACAATAACCCAAGATCGACTTTCTGTCAACCTCGGCATTGGATTATAAATGTCTCCTTTTCTTTTTCAGCAATCGTGAGGTTGTTATTCAGCACACGTTCACTTCCTTGCAAAAGAAGACATACAACACAACGGTAGTTGACGTTTCGGCAGTATCGCCTTCTTCAGAGCCGTTTTTTCACCTATCTTCCGCCGAGGAAAAACAACACTAACCTTAAAATGGAGGAGGAAATCTGGCTTGAATTGACTCCATAGTATGAAGAAATATAAGTTCATCTTTTGTTGAAATAAGATCTATCATGGTTGGAAATCTGGCGCTACTGTCAAAATTCATTGAGAAAAAAATCTTCGCATCAGATTTTGATGAAGCACAAACCCAAATCTTTTGTCTGTTTATGTCAATGTACTTCATAATTTGCATGCCACTTTATTGAGTTTGATAGAATCCCTTTCCGTGTGCTGCAGAGCAAATGTAGGAAATGTCCTGCTTTTCTTTTTGTTTTGACTTTCAAGTGTTCAAGTGTTTTCGTCGTTGAACAACATCGTCTTAAAGCATATGTGTCATCGCCTTCTTAAAAGCTTAATAAGAGAAAAAGTCCATTTGCCAAATTCTATTCCACCTTTACATAACCGAAACCAGTCATGTTTATGACTGAGTGGGTTGAACAGCTTGAAAAACAGATGAGATGTTCCAGCTTCTTCGCCATCACGTCATTCTTAGATTCTGCATGGCGACCAAGTCACATCCACCTGTTGGTCGCACTTTTCTGTCGTTTTAGTCATCGCAATTGTTTTCAGCCGATTTCTGTCCTCATTAAGTCACTTCATTTCTCGAACATTCACCACTTCGTTGCTGAGATATTTGCAAAAACTCTGGACCGTAGGTGTCTATGGTGGGGAAAGAACGCGCTATTATCCTTTCCGGGGAGTAACGCGTTCACCACCACACCATGCGGGTCTTTCGTTTCGCCTGTCTCTCAGCTATTTCTATCGATCTTTTTGCCACAACAATCACCCGTCAGCGGGGTTGATCTGGGGAGCGCAAATAGGCACAGAACCCAGTTAAGCTATGGCTGTAGTTGAAATCACAATGTTTAACGTTTTGTTTTCTTCCTTCTATAATTTTCATGGCAGGCTACGTTGTGGTTGTATTTCGTTTAGTAACCTGCAATAAAAATTATAGAAGGCAGAAAACAAAACGTTAAACATCGTGAATTCGCCACTTCCTCCATTCACTTACGTATCTGGTAGTAATTGTTCGTCGTCGATAAATGATGTCGTTATCAGCTGCTACGGGCACACAGCAGGTGCCTAATTGCGTATGCTTAGTGCTTCTTCTTGCCTTTCAATTGGCTGTCGGCTGTCTGTAAGAAATCTAAGAGTCATCGGCTCGGTTCTCGTATTCGATTCTGGTAGCTTTTTGAAACCGTTACTCCCATTTCTAACATCGTTTGATGTCCCTCCACAGCTTAGGGTTAAGCTTCACACTTCTATACGCACAACATACGTGTGAAATGAAAGCGTTTAAACTTAAAGCTGTGGAAATCTTCATGTTATTCATCATTGTTTGCACGTCAACTTGTCTTCATGTTTACACAGAAATCGATTTCGGTGTCCTTGTGTGTTTCATTAGATCGGAACTCTTCGTATCAAATTGCAGTTACCAACCTGTGCCGTTGTCGTAGTCCATCTAGGCGATTTTCAAACTGAGATTTATTCTATTGAAATTTAACTTTTGTAAAAGACTAAAGCTTATGTGAAGTCCTATGGTGCATGAATGCTTCGATCCACTCGTCAAAGTTTGAAAAGCACTTTTTATCTGTAAAAAATCATCGAATGTAACTATCCACAGTTCTGAGAGGCCGACTCGTTAGCGCAGATTCATTTTTTTCTCCTCATCTTTCCGCCACTTTTTTGTAATCCGTTTTTAATTTTTTGTATGCCAACGTTTTTCACAGACTGTGAGCACACCAGTACGACGACGAGCACACCGATCACCGCGGAAAGTTCATCGAGTGGTAGGATGCATGTGAGCGCCAGTCCAGGATAGTGGTAAAAGAGAAGCGCTCCTTCAGAAGAATCTACAATGGCCTGCAATCCGTGCTGTTGTTTCGGTCTGAAGGACAGTGCTGTGATGATCGGCATCTGGACACTGGTACGTTCGCTCATCAGAAAATACTCGTCTTAAGATCAGTTCGGGTTTCGTGTTTTGTTCTGTCGTATTTTATCGCATCTACATCCATCCTACGAACGTGTTAATGAATATTTGGTACGCTTGTGCAGGGGTTTTCGTCTTTTATGCTTTTTTGGTTTTGGAATAGAAGTGCTGAATTCTATGCTCTTAAATGTGATGCACAATTGTATTCTTTTTTGTTTCAGCAAAAAACTAAGGTGTCCATGGGAAATGAAAATGGTAATAGATAAGCCAAATCACGAGATTAAGACAAACGCCTGGTCTTTGTCCTTAGTTACCGCCTCGTATATATGTTCAATAAACTGAAGTTTACAAAACACTAATAAGTTGAGTCGAAATAACCATATGTAACTAATAGTGGTGTTAGTTTTATAAGAAAAACGCTTGTAGGTCTAATAGCTGTTGGTTTTCGTCCTGTCCTGTTTTATGAATATTAGGGGCGGTTATCACAGTGGTAGTGATGTCCGTCATCACGAGAATTACGCTAGTTCGATTCCGCTCCGGGCCAACCAAGCCTCTCATCCCTCCGAGGTCGAGAAATTGGTACTGGACTTGTCTGGGAAAAACCACTCTTTGCAATCCAATTGAGAACGCGGCTATCTCATGACTTCAGGAAGAATTGCTCGACCAGCATTCTACGACATTCAAGATGAAAGGAAAATCCTCAAGCAGCAATGGAGTTCACCCGTAAAAAGTTGAAAGGTCTTCGTGAACAATGGATGCGAGGAAACAAATCGAATGTGGGAAGTGCAGGGATTCGCACAGTAGACGTGAAGACGGATCAAATAAATAAATAAATAAATAATTCATTAATATTAGTCCTCACCTTTTACCTAGATAAACATGTTTTTAATTCATTTACTTCTTAAAAGAAGTTAAAGATAAATTTATGAACAAAAACACGGTAGATGTAGATGTGATCATCGTATTTTGACTAAGTCGAGAGTAGTTTTTCGTCTAAATGATCAAGCATTGTAGGTGTATTCGATAGCTTCGCTGTTTTTATTCGGTTGGCAAACTGGTGTTCTAAACCACTGTCGGACGGTGACCATGTCCCAGGCGAACCTGCAGTGCGAGTGGGATTGTCCGTGCATCGGCGCTTCCAACGCCAGGACCACTCGAATCGTTGAAGGTTCATATGGCCATTCTCTTAGCTCCCACTTGTTTTACTCCCATTCGAAACACGCATCCCGTAGTTATTTCGGATAGGCTTCGGTATAATCTTAGCGGACGTATACTGTGGTAGAACCCATGGGTATTCATTAAGAGCGCGGTTCTATCAATCGTGACAAATTATTGTATAGCAGCACTTCGCTATCTCTAGAACTTGTCAATTTAATGCTGCACAGCAAAATATGCCTCGTGAGACTTTCAGCCCCGCATATTCAGAATTTTTTTCCTATAGTTCGATGCGTTTTTTCTATGCTTAAAGAGGATAAAACTCTCGGCGTTGATAAAGCTCTCGGCATTGATCAATCTTTGAAGGTTGCGCCACGCAACTTTCCAATGACATTTTAGGAGATTCTTTAATGTGAAATCAGCCTGTATCCTTCGTGCACACTTTTCTCTCTATCTCGGTTCGATGGAAATGTCCTATAGGATCCACCTTTTCCACATTTACTTTACCTCCATATCTCCCGTAAAAACTCACTGATCTAGAGTGACCGGAAAAGGTGGAAAGGAACGCCAGTTCGCCAGTCTGTCAACCGCCACATTGCGATGCTTAATCCAACGTATTCAGCGTTTTAGATTTTCTCAATAGCGCAACTTGGTATTATGGGTTGGCAGATGGCGGCAATCAAATACGAGAAAGATCGAGCAGCTAACACCCTTCTCCCAAATTACAACACCTACGGCAAGTACGACATCCCGTCCTACTACGAGTCGTACTGGCAGAGTCCCGAGGAACGCTATTACACCGGTTTGTCGACCTTTTCTAGTCTGAAGTGGTATTAACTTGCTATTAGAATTGAAATTTCCTTGATTTGCTTGTTCCACTTAGCATTCCTGGGTTATCCATTCGAGTTAACCCTCTCCCCTTATAAATCATGGGAATTTGATGGAGGCTGTCACTGGGTGACTATTTTTCGCCAGTTTTCAAATATTTGAACTTGGATGTTTACTGACTGAAGACCGGTCGTCGTGTTGGGACTGATTGGAAAACATTTAGTTCGAACCGAGACTTTATCAAAGTCATTTCTAGCGCAAATTCTAAACAAGCTGGTCACGAAAGCAAAAGAGCCGCTAAGATATCTCATTGACTTGAAATATAGTCTTCTGGGGAAATTCTTGAAGTTTATGTGGTGCCTAGATCGCAAGTCTCTGGTGCGCTTCATTGGAAATACAATCGTATGGAACTAAGGACGAAATAGTTTAAAGTCAAGAGAGGTGCCGTGGCAATGGCTCAGAATTCTATAGATGTGGTCCAACTTTATACCATTCATTACTGACTAATCGCCACCACATATTCCTCCATCTCGAGCGGTGATTTTTGAAATGATGGTAGGATGACTCGTTCCTGTTGATGATTCGACCAATCTAGCACCTTTTTTTGTGCTTAACACATCGCCATGCATAACAGAGCATACAGGAATTCTCAGGACCGACTTTCTACTAACCTCGACATTGACTAATAAATTGATGTTTTCTTGATAAACAGATAAGACTCTCATTACAATACTAATTTCGCGCTAGCCAACTTTTCGGCGGACTTCGCTCTCTTCAAACTCTGAAAGGACAAATTTATTATTCAGCCGAGTTTATTGTGTATCAATCTGACCTCTCCTGTGTCTGAAGAAGGCGGAGTCCGCTGAAGTGTGAGCTAACGAGAAACCAATATTCTAGAAATAATCTAGCACTTCCTCATCAAGAAAGCAGTAATTTGTATAACAAAGAGTGCTCTATCAAGCACACACTGCAGAAACCACCCTTAATAGTGGGAGACAAAGCGACAACCGTTGAATTGTGCACGACAATCACAAATGCGGTTCATTTTAGGACTCTTTGTCATCCAGATACTGTGTCTGATAGCGGCATTCTTTCTACTTTTTGCCTCAGTAGCGCTTATCTATGGAGTTCACACGGTAACAGTTTTCTTTTCACAGAATGATTCTACTACATAACGTTAGAAGAAGTAAAATGCGGTTGACAATGAATACAATGAGCATCTCTTTCAGGACAAAATGTGCAGATCAGTACAGTTTTCAATCAACCGTTTACAATTAACATTTAAGATGTGATGCCCAATTATTTCTTTGTTAGATATACGGTGCAACGACCAGCGTCATAGGCAATTTAGAGTTCTTCTTTGATTCAGATACTTCCTCACTGCTGATCTATGCATACTTGGTGGTCACTAGCAGCGTTTACCACCATGATAACTGCAGTGGCGCACAACATGAGCTATACCTTCATAGCCACATTGTTGCTGTGAGATTTTCAAATCTCATACCCCAAATCAGATTGGAACCCTGATTCACTTTTTGTGGGCTCATATGTTACTCACTGCACCACTGAGGCTCTTGCCGTTCGTTCTTTCCTTTAACTACGTTCAATCCCGATTTGTGCTTCTCAAGTCATTTCCGTTGACCAGGTGATGGCACTGTTAGGGTAAAGAACTAGCTGAGAGAACAACAAAGCAAAAACCTCAGTAGTGCAGTGGGTAGCAAGCGAACCTCCAGAAAGGGTAATCGCGAGTTTGGATCTGGGTTGAGGTTCGAATTTTGCAAGTTGCTCAGCATCATTGTGGTTATAATGTTTCACTTTTATTTTCTGCCTTCTATAACTTTTATGGCAGAGTATTAAGCGAAATACAACCACAAGATTGCTGAGATATTTGCAAAACTCCGAACCGCAGGTGTCTGTGGTGGGGAACGAACGCGCTATTGTCCTTTCCGGGGAGTAAGGCGTCCCCCACCACACCATGCCGCTCTTTCGTTTCGGCTGTCTCTCATCTAGTTCTAACGACCAGTGGCGTCAGCAATCACCCGTCAACGGGATTGAATGGGCTCCATGCCTGTGTGGGCTCCTCAAATCTATCAATCAGATCGCTACTCCCCTGAAAGGACAATGGCGCGTTCGTTCCCCACCGCAGGCACCTGCGGTCCGGAGTTTGCAAATATCTCAGCAATCTTGTGATTGTGGTTATAACCACAACGTTGCTGAGATATTTGCAAAACTCTGGACCGCAGGTGTCTATGGTGGGGAACGAACGCGCTATTGTCCTTTCAGGGGAGTAGCGCGTTCGCCACCACACCATGCGTCTCCATTGTTTCGCCTGTCTCTCAGCTATTTCTATCGATCTTTGCCACAGCAATCACCCGTCAGCGGGATTGATCTAGGGCGCCCAAATCGGCATAGAACCCAGTTAAGCTGCGGCTGTAGTTGAAATCACAATGTTATACCTTTTTATTTTCTGCCTACTATAATTTCGCGGCAGGGTACTAAGCGAAATACATATATTGTGGTTATATTTCACATAACACCTTGGGATAAAAAATAACCGAGCAGTAAATAGAAGGTTATACATTGTGATTACCACCTTCATAGCAAGGTGATTTAGTGGTCTCGACATTTGATATGGCCATGGTTCATTTGTATCGTCTCATCGATCCTATCGTCGTTGGCTTACTGTATAATGTGGTGGGCCGGAGACGTACGTGACTACTGGATGGCGCTGACTATTCTGGAGATTATCGCAGTATTCATCAATGTGAGTTAGTGCTAAGACGTTATCGTCTTCAGTATTGTTTACTTCCAATTCAGGTATATTGTGTAGTTGTCATCTACATGTTCATGAAACGGCTTTCGGCCACGACTGATGAATACGAGGGAAAGCAACCAAAAGTACGGTACAAAATTAACCGTAACGGATACACGCGCAGAAGTCTCGATGGATATCACGGTGAATTCTCTGAATAGTTTTTCATGAAATTTTAAATGCTTAGATGGAATTGGTCACCACGACAAGATGTCATAATGTGACCAATACAGACAATAGAAATGAACTTAGCTCGTCCGTTCAGACTATGAAAGCCATCGACAAACTCCGGAGCAGATCATGAAAAGTCCTTATCCTCACTATACAACTCGTGAGCTAACACTTCTTCTAAACCTTTTTTGCACCTCTCCCTTAATTTTTTCCACTTTGTTTTTTGTAGTCAATGCATTTTAAGCTTAGCCTTACCCCTTCCTTCATAATTTTGAGATTTTCCTAGTAAAATATTTCGAATTGTAAAGTCCTTCCAGTGTTTTGTAGACTATCTACGCATGTTCGTTCCTGGTTAACTTTCTGTTATGGTGCTTCTCAATTTTCCCGCTATAACGTTGTTGTCCATGAAAGCTACCGCTTCAATGAATAATCTTAACTGAACTAAATCTGGTAATAAAGAAAAACAATTAGATGAAAACTTCATAGGCCAGAACTCTTGATTTCCCTTTAGTTATTAGAGTGACGCATCTCACCTAACACAGTCACAGTAACACCAAATTGAGCTCTTTATCTCCTTACGGCCTTCAATACCATTCAGAAGTTATTTCAGCTTTGCATGAACCCTATCCTCCACGTCGACCTATGGGAACGCCGCAAATTTCACCATCGACACAAGCACAGAAATATCCATCTACACCACCTTATCCAGTGGATCCTAATGAGGTCTCGTATTTTCATTCGGGCATTCTTTTTTTTGAAGGAGTCGCATAAGAACGAATACGAAAAAATAGCCTTTCTGTGTCTTCCACTTAGAGAATATGAGCAGGGAATTTGAAAGACAACATAGTGTGCTTCCAAAATCATGTGGTCAACCTTTTGAGATTTCAAGATAGAACTGAAGTAGACAAAAACGTTACGAGTATGGATCCTGAATATGTCCTACTATGGAGGCATTTCATTTTACTCTAAGAAATGTAGTTTTTTTTTCAGCGAATTCACTACGATCAAGAACCAAAAGCGCGCTTCGTCGAAAAGGACGACCATGTTGCCCACTGGGTTAAGGATCAGCAACTGATCGGTAAGTACCGTTTGTCTGAGCCGAACTATAGCAGCCTTGTGTTAGAGTGGAAGTGCGTATTTTCAGCGTTGCTTTCAGAAAGAGGCGACGCTAATAGCGAACCAGTGTCGCCTAGTCGACACATGGGTCAAGAATTCCCACTGCAGGTTAGTGAATCGACTCTGCCTAAATGTTTTTCAATCAATTTTGCGCTTTGCGAAGAACTGTTATCCGAGTGGTGAGATATCCTCGGTAAAAATTATCCACGATACTGTCGTTTTATGTGCACCGTCTTACAGCACTCTCGTTCTGTTCCGTCGCTATATGATGGAACGTTGGTCTCGCACCGAAGTTGTCGTCATGGAAGGCATAGGTTGGTTAAAACTCATTGTAGAACAAGTAACAAAATGAATCTGTTGATTTGCTCAATAGTGTTTTCGGTTGCGGTACTGAAGAGATGCACCTTTTTTCTCCTAACGAATAAACCAAAAGAAGGCTTACAGAGTGTTGGTAACCGCTAGCGCTCGAATTGAAGTGAGAGTGAGAAAAGCTGCCTTTAATTACCTACTCACCTATTTTTATACTTGCATTCAAAGTCTTCATACTTCGTAGCAACTTCCACTATTGGTATTTCGTCGGCTGAACAAGTTTCCCTTTCTGGAAGTTTTTGGATAACCGTTGTTCACCATCTATACTTAGCGATCTCGAATAACCTTTCCATCCTCATTTTGCGATGCATCATTCTGCGTTCATGCCATATTTAACTATTGCGTGTGTGGAGGTTTTCCAAAGCTCCAGAATTTAATGATTGCAACGGTATGTGAATTGTGCATAAAAAGTGAGTAGGGTGCTGCTTGTAATAATTTGACACTTGACACTTGAACGACCCGTTCTCACTAGTTGTGCGGACCTCAGCATACATTTATCGGAGATTTGCTGGTTAAGCCATTATGGTTCTCTGGAATCCCGATGTCACCCTGGCCAAAGTCTGCCCTAGGTCTTCACCACCACGGGCAGTCGCAGCCATGGGAGGTTGTGATGATTAGAAATAGTATGTAAAAAGTATAAGTTGTAAAAACTGCAGATTATAAAACAAATATTTTGACAGAAACATGCAACGAAGACGCCTATAGAAGTCCCACATTGAATTATGATTTTCTTATAATGGTCATAAATTGTACTTGTGCTTCGAAATTCAGTTTGCAAGCAAACCAGTCGCGTTAGTACCCGTCATGGATTCAAATCAAGGCAAAAAAAGCACCTATCTGAAAGACCACTTTTTGGTAAAATATTAAGAGCCTCCCAATGGTTTACCGCCTAATCGTCGCTGGGAGGTGTTCTCGGGTGTCGGGCTGCGATGTACTGCGAGGGATTTATCTCCCGAGCAGGGCTTCCCATGCTTCGAAGGAGTCCGGTGTTTCTGTAAGGAAGCCCAGTTAAGAGTAAACCAATATCAGGATTCACCGCCGTCCTGGTATCAAACTAATCGCATAGTGGCAAATCTCCCTCTAATCCACAAGAGCGGCGACTGCCCATGGTGGTGATGGCCTGGGGCAGACTTTGGCCCGGCTGACCTCGGAACTCTAGCGAACCACGATGGCTAAACTAGCAAAACTCCGAAAAAATGGAAATTATGACGGGAATCGCACAACCATTGAAGAAGAGCCATGTAAGTATCCAAGTAAGTAAGTATTAAGAGAGAATAACTTTACAGAGGTCATATTCCACACAACATTCGTATTGCATTGGGTATCGAAGGAGTTCAAAAAGAGTACCCGATGTCTGGTAGACAACACTGGTTGGATGAACCACTTCTTGACATCGGTCCTTTGTCCTCATTAGCACAGTGGACATCATTCGTCAGATATGACCTTTTTTGAAATCCTGAAATAGGCGCTCCCAATTAGACGTAATCTGTGCGAAATTTATATATGAATTTGCTTCTGGAGTTTATTTAGATCTTCATCAAGACGTCGATCGAGAAGTCGACATGTACAAAATTCAACAGACTCCGAATCACCAATAGGTACATTGCTATATATTTCAACATGGACTAGCTCAAAGCAATTTTTATTACTTGAAAAAAGTAGAATTACAAAAAAGCATTACTGCTTCAGAACTTGCTCATGAACAAAGAAAACGGCGAAGAAGTCGAACGCATTACACCGATTCAGAAGTCACGGATACCACCGATCGATGGGATCGTGAAGACCATATAAAAAGAAGGAGGGGGTACAATGGTTCA